GCTGGCGGCGAGCTAGCAGCAAGCTGCTGGCAGCTAGCTGGAGGCGAGTTAGCAGCAGTGAGGGAGCGGTGGGCGGCTGCCAGCTAGCAGCGAGCAAGCTGGCAGCAGCAGGTTGCAGGCGAGCTGCTGGTGGCAGCTAGCTGGCAGCGAGCTAGTAGCAGCTAGCGAGCTGCTGGCGGCGGCGAGCTGGCAGCAAGTGGGCAGAGCGCGAGCTTGCGGGAAGCTGACGGCGGCACGCTGGAAGGGAGTTGCTTGCGGCGGCTAGTTGGGGACGAGCGAGTAGCAGCTAGCGAGCTGCTGGCCGCGGCGAGCTGGCGGCGGCTGCTGGCGGCTGCTGCTGGCGGCGAGCTGGCAGCAAGCGAGCTGGCGGTTGGCTGGCGGCGGCGCGTTGCGAGCGAGCTGCTGGCGGCGGCTAGCTGGTGGCAAGCTGGCAGCAACTAGCGTGCTGCTGGCGGTGGCGAGCTGGCGGTGGCTGGCAGGCAGGCTGGCAGCAAAATGCGGGCAGCGCGAAGGCAGGGCAGCAGCCTAGGATGCGGTGACCTCAGCAGGCGTAGCAACTGGCTGTGACAGAAGTGTGCAGTGTGAAGAGAACGGACCCGCCCTTGCACCTCTGGCCCGAGGAGGCTGCTGCAGCGGTCTCAGTGACCACCGCAACCGAGGCAGAGCGGCCCCAGAGACAGGGAGCTGGGGAGCAGAGCAGCTCTGAAAGATGAGGACTACCATCGTGCCAGTGGTATCAGCGACGGCACGGAGGCGCGACTCAACCGCCGTCAAGGCGGGAGGAGAACTTAGCGACAGTGAGGGAGGTAAGGGGCACACCGAGGAGTGCGTCTCGCGCAGGGGCGAGATGGTCAAGGAGGCGTGTGGCAAGGAGGTACAGAGTGATGTGGGTAGGCGAGAAGTGGGTGGTGCGGTGCTCCTCAGGGCAAGCTGCATGCCAGCAAGCCTCAAGGGACTGCAAGTACTACTAGTCAGAAACACTAGTCCAACCTCTGATGAGTGTAATAAGAAAACTCATGGCAGTACTACTAGTCAGAACCATTGAGACAAAAGGCCACAAGGCCAGTCAGCAAGTGTAGCAAGACAAACAGGTATAACACAACAAGTACAGACAGGTATAGTATGAATCAGGATACAAGGAAAGGTGCTGCTACTGAGGCTAGACCAAGCTGACTACAGAACCGCTGATGATCACGATACGCAAGTGCCTTGGTGAAGATATCAGCGGTGTTGGCCTCTGAGGCCAACAGTACTACACGGACCTGACCACGCTGCTGCAACTCTCGCAGCAGGAAGTACCGCAGCTGGATGTGCTTCGCTCTGCCCTCAAGCCGTGTCTCCTGACACAAAAGGATCATGGCCCTATTGTCAGCAAACAGGACCGGGGCAGACCTAGGTTGCTCACCAAACTCAGTGAGCAAGAACGGCAGCCAGCAAAGCTCCAGAGCAGCCATGGCCCCAGCGTAGATCTCTGTCTCATAGCTGGACTGAGCTACAGACGACGACCTGGTGGACCTCGATGAGACTGCACCAGCACCAAGACTAAAGCAGTAGCCCTGAGTCGACCTGAGCGTCTCCAAGTCGTCTGCCCACAACGCATTTGTGTGTCCAGTGAGCACCACCCACTTCCGTCCTCCTAGCACAAGCCCCAGTCCTGATGTGCTCGCCAGATACCGCAGTACCCTCTTGGTAGCCGACCAGTGGACTGGTCGGTGCCTGCCTGTTGCGACAAAGCGAGCCAGGAGGCTGAGAGAGTGCGCTAGATCTGGTCAAGTGCAGGCCATCAGGTACATGAGGCACCCCACCAGCTCTGTGTATGGACCACTAGCCTCGACCAGCTCAGCCGGAACAGGAGCAGAGAGCTTGCGGTCCACAGGCAAGGGGGTGGGCTGTGCTGAGGAGAACTGGAAACTAAACCTCTGGAGGATCTGCTGCACCATATGGGACTAGGAGAGTGTGATCGTGTGAGCGGCACGGTCACGAGAGATCTCCAAGCCCAGATAGCGCCTCAGCTCCCCCAAGTCAGTACAGGTGTGTCTCCTAAGTAACTCCGCCTTCACAGAGGCCAGTGCGACTCTGTCGGGAGTAGCTTTGAGAAGACCCTCTACGTACACTAGAATGTAGAACGGTGTCTGACCCGTGCGAACAAAGAGAGAGGGGTCAGCAGAGGACGGAAAGAACTGCAGCTCAGCAAGAGTGGTGCGAAGCGTGTCGTGCCACTAACGGGGTGCCTAACGATGGCCGTAGAGAGGACGGTGCAGGCTCTACTGGGTCCCAGGTGGGAAAGGACCCAGGGAAGCCTAGAGGGCGCCGGAGGTAGGTCTGCTCGTGCAGACTACCCTGCAGGAACGCTGTGGAGAAGTCGAGTGAGTGAAGCTCGTAGTGACGCTGTGCGGCTATGTGAGGAAGGACCCGAAGAGTAGTCATCTTCGGGGTCGGGAAGAAGGTATGGAAGAAGTCCACTCCCTCACGCTGACTGGAGCCTCTAGCCACTTAACGCGCCTTGAACTTTGGCGGCTCTCCAGGTTCGTGCTTCACCCTGTAGATCCACATGCCATCGACAGCGTTTGCACCAGGCGGGGGAACTGCGTCGACGTAGGTGCCAGTGGATCAGTAGGATGCCATCTCAGTCTCCATAGCCTGTATCTACAGTGACGGAACAATCTGTCCACATGTTGGTCATTAACTGGACAAAATCAGAGCCCATGAGAAAATGAGAAGGTTTTATATTTCCTGGTTTTAAGGTTCTAGTTGCCACTGTTGTAGGCTTGCGTAACAAATGGCATCTTGTCCAAAATACACACCAGAACAGAACATAGCACAACGAAGATCACAAGTGGTACACTCGGACAGAATGTTCTCAAGATGAGCGACATTTGAAATTATCGATATCGATACCGGGTCCATCTCCCCTTAGCCCTACTTTCTGTTCTGATCCTCCTAGGCATACTGTCTATCAGAGCCTTGCACACGCCAGCCCCAATGCAGTCCCATGCCTCGTGCACCTGCTCCCAAGTTTGCAGCATGCCTGTGGGGGGTTGCTCATGCTTGGCGAGCTGCTCGATGGGATTGGGGTCTGGGGAGGAATAGGGTTATTGTAGGTCCACGAAATCTTGCTCTGCTAGACACTCCTGAACGATCCTGCACATAGATTTGGGGTAATACAGTGTACTAGAACGTCATGCCAGAGACGGTCAAATAATAGAAATCTAGAGTTTCAGCCACCTCGTCCTGCAATATGCTAAGATAGAGTTGGCCATCTGTGCGGCCATCAATCTTGCACATGTAACCAAGCACATCAGACATTATACAGACTCAAACCATGACTGGCCCGCCCCCATGCTTCACACTCTACTTCACCTGATGCCCCTGGAGAGCAGCGCCTTCGCGAATCCATGTGTGGGTGTGGCTACCCAAGCAGTATCGAGTTATCTGAGTCTCGTTCGACCTGATCACCCGCTTCCAGTCGTCCAAAGTCCAGTCTAGGTGGGCTCTGGCGAAATTCCGTATACTCGCAGATTTTGCGCGCTAATAGTTGAGGCTTGCGCAATAGCTGTACAGCGACTAACCCAGTCACCTAGAGGGAATTTCGTATAGTATGAGGGTGGACCTTAACAACGTGATTCGATTCTAGTGGCTATGCAGCCTCAATGCTCGTCAACGCGGCACCTAACATGATGGTGTGCACGAAAGTGCACATGTGTCACGCTGAGAGCAGTCGCGGTCGACCTGAAGAGTGGACATTTGGCCTAGCTGCTAGACGGCTACAGCTGTGACTAGCCTTCAGAGTGTTTTTTTGGGCGATTCTCTGCCCTATTCCTAGCGTTCGTGCGATCTGTCGAAAACTCAGAATGTGGCGACAGAGGCTCATGATCTGTTATCTCTGACGCGAAGCAAGTGGGCGCGTGGTTACTGGAGGATCATGGGGTAAGGGGCATGCGCTAGCGAAAGTTTGAGCGACTTTGCTAGCTCGTGCAAAGAATGCTCGACGGAAACCGATCTAGTCTCTACTCGGGTAGTATTTGTCCACATCGACCGTCGAGCGTTAAAGCTTGTACTCTCTAGGGTTCCAGAACTTTCAGTTCGAGCCTCCTGGGCCTTTCCGGACCTCGATTCGACACATTGAGGCCCTTCGACACCTTCCCCGAACCTTCCGATCCTACGTCCAGGATCACCCTAGGTTTCCTATATATTGTGTTGTCTTTAATTTTATTGTCATTCACTCGTTCAAAGTTTCGCCATTGCCCTCCGCGCTACTCGGCAGTTCCATTCATAACACATTGCATGTGGTCATTACCAACGATTGGGCCTCTGGTGTTTGTCAGTTTGTGTGATCATTCTGGTTCTTGTTCCTTGCTACTCATAACTAACACTTCCAGTTACGACTGTGGGTTGTTATTTTGAACTGTAACACGTATTCTCACTATTGCTTCGTCAGTAGTCGCAAAAGCATTCCCTAGCATGAACCAGGACGTTTTGGAGGTGTGGCAATTGGTTACTGTTGTGCGCAACCTCGCTGGTGGCATGTTTGGATGAGCGACGGCGTGGCGTACGAGCGTCGGCTCAACATTTTCCTTGCGGCTTTTGTCCCCTCCGTCATCACATTCCCCTGAGAAGGTGCATTGCCATGCCACGTGGCCTGCCAAGTCGGACTGAGGGCTTTTCCCAACCAAGCAGGTGGACATTAGCGAACAGGGGCAACCGTGGGGGACTATATCGGAAAGCAGTGAGCATGTGCATGACAAAGGTCGCACGCACAAACCTCGCCTCGAAGGCTGATTGGTCACCCCATGGTTATGTGGCAGTGGTGGGACGTGGAACATTGCCCAGTTCCCCTCCGAGCCCGAATTTTGGGGGAAGCGAAAGCACCGTCGCTAACATCTGCGAATAGGCGGCGAAATCTAGCGAAGGTTGGAGGGGCATGGTGACATTTCAGCAGTTGGGCAGGGCAGCACGCCCGCAGCTAAACCTAGCACCTCCCCCACCTCCTGCACTGCTTGCTGCATCCCCCCACCCGACCTGACAGAGGCAGACATCCCAGCAGCTCACACCAAGCCTTGGACTGCTAAACCTAGCAGCAGCCGCAGTGATAATACCGCCTCCTAGAACGCCGGTTGAGTAGTACCAACACTCACTGCGCGCTGTGACCTAGTCGTGATTACGATCCGACGCACCGTATCACGAGTTTAGGCGTCAGAGTAGACTGAGTCGGGTGGCGGAAGGGCGGCCGCTGCGGAAGGCACAGCAATTGGCGTTTGTGGATTGTGGGAGGCGCTGTCGCCAAGGCTCATGTCGAGCCTCCTCGGCCCACAGCGTGGTGAGCGCAACTCACGTGTCGCCCGACCAGCAGTGCCGCCCACGCACATCCTGCATTCGCTCTCCCTTCCCGCCGCCTTTTTGGGAAATCGAATCGATCTTTGCTGTTCCGGCGAATCGACACCGTGACGTCTCTTGGGGGGCGTTTCGGCGCGAGGTCAAGAATTCGTGGTCGATCGGTCTGCTCTTGGAGTGCTGAGTCTTCATCGTCTGATTTAACTTTGTGACGCGCTCGTTACGCCGTAGCTAGCCATGTCGCAGATCTGGCCTAGGAGTCTTGCATAGTCATTTCTTAAGAGAGGGAAAGAGATCTCTTGGTTCGCCGCTTGACCTCGTGACTGCTATTTTCTTGTGGATCCATGGCGCCGAAATTCTAGACTCCCTGGTACCGCAATGATTAGTCTCCTTGCCTCTCTTCACCCAGATCGATGTCTTCTGTATGGATTTGTCGCCCGCGTTCTGGCCTCTTGTTGGCAGCTGCAACCTTATTCCTGGCGATTGTTCCCTGCTCCCTTGATTCTGACTCTCTTGATTGCGTCCCTGTCGTCGCCGTGTGCGCAGTGGCAGGCTGCACGGTCAGGCCCACTCCGCCACCTGATCAACGCCCGCGCGCGCATCACACCGCGCCCTCCAGGTACGTTGCTCCGCGCGTGCACTGCCCGCGCTCGCTGCCAGTCATTCTTCTCTGGATTTGCCCGTGTTTTCTTAAAAGATAGCTGGTCTACTCTTGTATGCTGCCACCATTCCCCAATTTTCTGCCTTTGCCGGTGCTCCCTTTCCCCGCCCCTGGCCAGCTCGGTGCCCCCGCGGTGGGTGGTGCAGCTGCCGTCAGAGCACTCGCGAGTTCACAGAAGCACTTGCGTTCGCAAGTTTCGCACCACCAGTCAAAGTCATGCGGCCACAAGAACAGCGGCGTGCAGCAATGGCAGCAGCGCCACCACCACGAGCAACGCGAGCACGAGCAGCAGGCGGCAAGCACGGTGTGGAGTGTGCTTAAGGACCGAGTCATGGCAGCCCAGGGGGCAACGAGCTTTGCCCGCCAAGGCAGCAGGAGCAAGAGCGCCAGCAGCGCGAAGGCTAGGGTTAGGCGGCAGCAAGCTGGCAGTCGGGAGCTTGTCGCAGCAGCAGCGGCGGCGGCAGCAGGGGCAGCGGCGGTGCGGGTGCGTGGCGGCCGTATCCATGGCGAGCCCGCCGGGCCCCGTGGCAGCGCCGGGGCCGGGCGCGAGCGACAGCGGCAAAGGCGCGGAGGCGCAGGCGGGCACGGCGGAGGAGCGCGTGGGCGTGCTGCTGCTGAACCTGGGCGGGCCCGACACGCTGGACGATGTGCAGCCGTTCCTCTTCAACCTCTTCGCCGACCCGGTCAGTGCCCTCCGCACCCCCAGCCCCGCCCGCACCGCCACCCCGCCCAGTGGAGCGAGCGCGCTACGAGCATTCGTGAACCGCACGACGGCCACGAGTCGGCGCTTGCTCGTGCACCACTCACTCGCATGCCTCGCTTCTCGCACAGAAACGTGCTCGCCTCTTCAACTCTTGTGCATGCGTGCCCTTTGCTGTCACTCGCCCGCCACATGCGCGCGCCTCTCCACGCCCGCCGTCGCTTCACAGACCTCCGCCGTGCCTCACGCTGTCGCGCGGCCCGCCACGTGAGGGCCGCGCTCTGCCCACGGGTGCCTCTGCCGGTGCCGTGCGCTTTGCACCCGGTGCTGCTTCCCCCTCGCCATCACCTCATCGCTGCCCTCCGCGCCTGTCCCGCCACCCCCGCCCCCCCCCCCCTCCTCCCGCAGGACATCATCCGGTTGCCGCGCGCGCTGCGGTTCCTGCAGCGCCCCATCGCGCAGTTCATCTCCACCATGCGCGCGCCCAAGAGCCAGGAGGGCTACGCCGCCATCGGCGGGGGCTCGCCGCTGCGCCGCATCACCATGGACCAGGTGCGAGGGGGGGAGGGGGGAAGGGAGGGAGGAGTGGTGGGGTGTTGGGCGGCTTGATGGGAACACCTGGGTTTGGGGGTTGGGAAAGGGATGGGGAAGTATTTGGGTTATTTGGGACGCGGGAGAGATGGCTGAAGGGGACACACATAACAAGAGCCCACGAACTAGTACCCCCCTTAATCCCTTTCCTCCTTCCTCGCTGACCCCCCCCCACCTGTGCGCCCTCACCTCATTGGTAGGTGAGACCCATGATGGTTCGTTAATGCCACTCTGTGTCCTCCCCTCTCTGTGTGCCCTCCGCCCCGCTCTCCCCCCTCCCCTGGTGCGCGCGTGCAGGCGGAGGAGCTGAGCAAGGCGCTGCAGAAGAAGGAGCTGCCGGCGAAGGTGTACGTGGGCATGCGCTACTGGCACCCCTTCACGGAGGAGGCCATCTACCAGGTCAGCCGCCTCGCCTCGCCTCGCCTCGCCACGCTGCACCCATGCTCCCACCGCCCACTACATCACATCACCGCTCTGTCCGCCCGTTCTCTTGTCCAATTGCTCTCCCCTGCGCTGTGTGCTGTGCGGGCTTGCTGTGCGGTGCGCGGTACAGATAAAGCAGGACCGCATAACGCGCCTGGTGGTGCTGCCGCTGTACCCGCAGTTCTCCATTACCACCAGCGGCTCCTCCCTGCGCCTGCTCGAACGCATCTTCAGGTACCCGCCGCCGCACCCATGCGCACTGCGCGCCCTAATGCGCACTGTGCGCCCCCATGCGCACTGCGCGCCCCCATGCGCTGCGCGTGTCTCTGCAGGAGCCTGTGTCGCTTGGTGCCTCGAGCCTTGCCTAAGCGCCGTGCTCTCTCAGGGCCCCGAAACGCCCGCCTCTCACCATGCGAGGCACTTCCTGGCCTGCCCCTTGTGCCCTCCATCTTCCTCTTGCACCTCCCTCCCCTCGCATCCCGCACTCACTCCCTCGCCCCCCCCTGTGCCGTGTGTGTTGCGTGCGTAGGGAGGACGAGTACCTGGTGACGATGCAGCACACGGTGATCCCCTCGTGGTACCAGCGCCGCGGCTACGTGGACGCCATGGTGTCGCTCATCCAGAAGGAGCTGCAGGCCTTCTCGCGACCAGAAATAGTACGAGCCAGCCCCCCTTCTGTGCCCCCGCTGCTCCGCCACTCCGCCTTCCATGCGTTGCGCGCCTGCCATGCGTTGCGCGCCTTCCATGCGTTGCGCGCCTGCCATGCGTTGCGCGCCTGCCATACCCCTCTACTCTGGCCTCTCTGCTCCCCTCCCCTCCTCCCCACTCACCCCGCCCCCCTTCGCTTTTTCACACACAATCCCTCTCTATCTCTCTATCTCAATCTTTCTCGCCCTCTCTCCCTTGCTCTCTCCCCCCCCCCCCCCCATGCCTGCCCGCGCACGCCGCCCGTCCCGGCCGGCCTGCAGGTGAACATCTTCTTCAGCGCGCACGGCGTGCCGGTGGCGTACGTGGAGGAGGCGGGCGACCCGTACAAGGCGGAGATGGAGGAGTGCGTGGGCCTTGTGATGGACGAGCTGCGGCGCCGCGGCATCTACAACAACTACACCCTCGCCTACCAGGTGCTGCTGCTCGCATGCACATGCACACATGCACATGCAGACACCATACACTCATACGCACACACTCACACACGCACACATTCACACTCACACTCTCTCTCACACACACACATGCACACACATACACATACACACACGCATGCACACACACACACATGCAGGCACACACGCACACACATATGCACACACAGACGCGCACACACAGGCCTACACACACACACATGCACATACTCACATATACACACGCACACGCACACATACACACACGCACACACATGCACACACACACATACACACATGCACATGCATACACACACACACGCACACACATACACACGCACACACATACACACACGCACACACACACATACACACATGCACACGCTTATAGACGCATACACACGCACACACACGCATGCACACGCACACACACGCACACACACGTGCACACACGCACGCGCGCGCGCGTGCACACACACACACACACACACACACACACACACACACACACACACACACACACACACACACACACACACACACACACACACACACACATGCACACATAGACACACATGCAGACGCATACACATACACACCCGCACACACCCGCACACACAAACACATACATACACACGCACACACGCACACGCCCACAGAGCAGGGCTTACATGCTCGGTTGTTGCAACATGAGCGAGCTGGCACATGAAGATGCGTGAATGCCACATGCACGTCACGCACAGTGGCCTCGCTGCTGAGCTGTGAGGAATATGCAGCAGAGATGGCAGGTTGTGCGCGCGCATTCTTGTGTGGCGCACGGAGAGCAGCCCAGCGCCCCATGGCGCTCATCTGCATGCGTGCCTGCACACTACTCTCCCCCCCACGTCATGTCACCTGTGCGTCTTCCTTGCCCCGTGTGGCCCTTTGGTGGTGTCAGAGTCGCGTGGGGCCGGTGGAGTGGCTGAAGCCGTACACGGACGAGAGCATTGAGATGCTGGGCAAGGCGGGCGTCAAGAGCCTGCTCGCCGTGCCCATCAGGTGACACCCACCCCGCTGCCGCTGCTGTGCGCTGCCGCCTTCTGCATCTCACGCCCTGTCAGCCTCGGACACTTTTGACTTGGTTTCTCCCACTTGTCGCTGCCTCGCCCCCCATCCCCTTCCCACTTCCCACGCGCGGACTCCTAACCACATCGTCGTCTCTCATTTTTCACTTCCGTATTTCTCCCCCCGGTCTTCCACTCCTCTCCCTGGTTGTCCTCCCTCGCCCTTTCCTTCCCTCCCACGGATTTCCACTCACCCTCGTCCCATCCCCCTCGTTCTTCCGGTTGGCACGGGCCATGTCAGCCATGGAGAGTGCCTTTCCTATCATGTCACCCCCCCTGTACTCACCGCGTTATCCTCCCTCCCCCTCCCCCCCCCCCCCCTCGGGCAGCTTTGTGAGTGAGCACATAGAGACGCTGGAGGAGATCGACATGGAGTACCGCGAGCTGGCGCTGGAGTCGGGCGTGGAGGAGTGGGGGCGCGTGCCAGCGCTGGGGTGCGAGCCGTCGTTCATCGACGACCTGGCGGACGCCGTGCTCGAGGCGCTGCCCTACGTGGGCGCCATGGCTGCCTCCTCGCTCGAGGCACGCCAGGTACAACCCAGGGGGGCTGTGGGGTGGTTTCTCGGGCAGGGTCGGGGGTGGTGGTTGTGGCATGGGGGGGAATGGCGAGGGGGGGCGGAGTCGCAGAGGGGGCGGGGTGTAGCAGGCTGTGTTGGCAAGCAGCCCCGGGCGCTGGTGTGTGCACTTGCAAGTTTGATGGCTGTGTCTTCATATAATCACCTTCCCTCCATATTCCATGCTCGTGGCTGCTTCCTGCCACCAGCTGCCCAGGTCTAGCCCCATAATCCTCATGCTAACTACCCTCCCCCCCTCTTCTCCTCTCCCCCCCCCCCCCCCCCCCAAGCAGGCGCTGGTGCCGCTGGGCAGTGTGGAGGAGCTGCTGGCAACGTACGACATAGAGCGGAGAGAGCTGCCGGCGCCCGTGGCCATGTGGGAGTGGGGGTGGACCAAGAGCGCGGAGACGTGGAACGGGCGTGCCGCCATGGTGGCCGTGCTGGGGCTGCTGCTGCTGGAGGTCAGCACGGGCCGCGGCATCCTGCACCAGCTCGGCATCCTGCCGCCTGCGCTATGAGGACCAGGGGGGAAGAAGGGTACATGGCAGGTCGTGGTGGACCGGGGGGGTTTTAGAGTGGCGTGGTTTGGTTGGCAGCTGTTGGTGCGTGCAGGCCAGGGGGGCCGTGGAGGGAGGGCCCTGTGCATTGCACAAGACACTACTGCGCCTCACATTGATTTCTGCATGTGTGCAAATGCTGCCTACTTGTACTGTCCATACTAAACGCTGGGAAGTGCAAACTTGAGAAGAGTCATGTAGTGCACCGTGTGTCCTCAGCAAGTGCAATCGGTGAGAGCACATCAGTCACCGCACTGATTAAAGCATGTATTATCATTCATAAAATCAGCCCTACTGGCATTGGCGCGGGGTGGCTGTGGCCGCAATGCGTGTGCACGTGCCCTGTCCCGCCATTCCCCTCGCACTCGCCGCGTACCGCGCCTCCAATGGTTCGTTCCCGCTCCTCTCGACTCCCTGTCGCCCGCTCACCGCGCCCTGCTGCGCGCCGCGCGCCGCTCTCGCTGCTGCTGGTCGTGCCGGTGGCCGCTCTCGCGCTGCTGCTGCTGCCCCTCTACGCCTCGCATCGCCTGCGCTCCCTCGCCCGTCACCCCCGCCCGCACCCTTCCGCCTCGCACCGCCATTCTGACGCCGAAACCGCCGGAGTAGCCAGCGCGCGCGCTGCCGATCACCCATGGCGCGCCCCCCGCGCCCGCGGCTCCTCAGACGACGACCTCTCCAGGGCGCTCGCGGCGCAGGAGGCGCTGGGGGAAGGCGCGGCGGAGGCGGACGGGGAGGCGCAAGCGGGGCAGGGGCAATGGGAGGGGGGGCAGAGATTGGAGGATGGAGAGGGTGAGGGGAGCAGTGGGACGGGGGAGGCGAGGAATGGGGAGGAGGGGGCGCGCAGTGAGGCAGGGGAGAGCGGGGGGTGGGAAGGTGGGAGCGGGGGGGTGATGGTGATCCGGCACTTCTCGCTGGGCGGGGAGAACCGCACCGTGCCGTGGGAGGAAGACTTCTGGCGGGTTGCCAGGAAGCCTAAAACGAGGATAAGGGGGGAAGGCGGCAAGATTCTGGGTGTTAGCAGTAACTCACTGGGAGGAGGGGAAGGGGTGGAAGGGGAGCAGGAAGAAGGCGAGGAAGAGGAGTGGGAGATTCTATATGATGTGAGTGAGAGGGGACGGGGGTGCTGGATGGAAGGATGTGAGGGTGGAGGGAAGTTGTTGCAGTGTGGAGTGGCATGGGCGGCATGCGGGTGAGAGGAGTGGCATGAGCGGTGGAGAAGGTGCATGAGGCACGCCGTGCCCTGTGCCTTGCCTGCGCGCAGTGTCATTGCCACTGCCCTGGAGCTTCTACGTCCCACCACCCTCTCCCCGCCATGCCCAGCTTTTAACCCCCACCCGCCAGCCCCTCTCCTGCCGCTGCGCGTGCCCCCCCCGTGCAGGCGTGGACGGCAGCGTACGGCCTGGAGCACAGGTGGAGCGCACCCGCACTTGTGTCGCTGCCGCCCGCTGTTGAAGCCAGTATTGCAGCGAGGAGAAGAAGAAGGAGGAATGCGGAGCGAGCGGGGGGAACAAGGGGGAGAAGGGTAGGGGAGGGAGGGGAGGAGCAATTGCGAGAGAGTGAGGAGGGTGAAGGAAGCGGTGATGGCAGTGCTGGCCATGCACGCACTGACAGCGTGCCCGCGGCGCCACACCTGATGCAGTGCGAGGCGGCGGCAGCGCAGCACCGCCTGCTGGAGCAGCGCCTGCCCGACGGCTCTCCCCCGCCCTGGGCCGCCCCCGTGGCTGCCGCTGCCGCTGCTGCTGCTGCTGAGTCTGCTGACCCAAAGGGGTATCGGGAGAAGATGAGGGGCGCGGCAGGTGGGCACGGACGGGCCGAGGGCGGTGGGGGCAGAGAGGACGGGAGCAGGCAGGGGCTGGTGCAGGAGAGGTGGGCCAGCGTCCCTCAGACGCCGTGGGTGAGACAAAGTGGGTGGGGCGTGGGGTGACGGGGCGTGGCGGCACGTGTGGCATATGGTCCACGTCCTCTTTCCACGATCTGTGTGTTGTTCCCTGTCAGCATGTGCTGTTCCCTGTCTGCATGTGCTGTTCCCTGTCAGCATGTGTTGTTCCCTGTCTGCATGTGCTGTTCCCTGTCAGCATGTGTTGTTCCCTGTCTGCATGTGTTGTTCCCTGTCTGCATGTGCTGTTCCCTGTCTGCATGTGCTGTTCCCTGTCTGCATGTGTTGTTCCCTGTCTGCATGTGTTGTTCCCTGTCTGCATGTGCTGTTCCCTGTCTGCATGTGCTGTTCCCTGTCAGCATGTGTTGTTCCCTGTCAGCATGTGTTGTTCCCTGTCAGCATGTGTTGTTCCCTGTCTGCATGTGTTGTTCCCTGTCTGCATGTGTTGTTCCCTGTCTGCATGTGCTGTTCCCTGTCTGCATGTGCAGCACACACAGCGGAGCCCCTCCATGGGCCTGCTATGGTGCGCCTGCTCATGCCTGCTCATGCCTGCTCATGCCTGCTCATGCCTGCTCATGCTGGCTCGTGCCTGCTCATGCCTGCTCATGCCTGCTCATGCCTGCTCATGCCTGCTCATGCCGGCTCATGCCTGCTCATGCCTGCTCATGCCTGCTCATGCTGGCTCGTGCCTGCTCATGCCTGCTCATGCCTGCTCATGCCTGCTCATGCCTGCTCATGCCGCTCATGCCTGCTCATGCCTGCTCATGCCTGCTCATGCCTGCTCATGCCTGCTCATGCCTGCTCATGCCTGCTCATGCCTGCTCATGCCTGCTCATGCCTGCTCATGCCTGCTCATGCCTGCACATGCCCGCTCATGCCTTCTCATGCCCGCTCATGCCTGTTCATGCCCGCTCCTTCTTGCGCATGCCGGCACAGCAAACCCCCCCATCCTCGTCTCGCCACCAGCCGCTTCCCCTCCGTCACCTTTCACTATTCCCTTCCCCTTCCCCTCTCCTCCCCGCCCTGTGCGCAGGTGCAGGGCAGTGAGTCGGACAACCTGCCGTTGACGCGTGTGGTGCAGGCGTCGCTGTGGCTGCACCAGTTCCCCGCCGACTGCTCCAGCCCCGCGCACCGCTTCCTGCTGTACCAGTGGCCGCCCGAGGGCGACCACGGCGTGGGGTCGGACCTGCACCTGCTCTCCGTCGCCATGGGCGCCGCGCTGGCCGCCGGCCGCATCCTCGTGGCGCACAGAAACTTCTTCCGCGCCCACCACGACGCGTGCCAAGGTGCGCTGCCACACCTGCCATGCCCACGCCCACCGCCATGCCCTCCACTATTCCCATCCGCCCCCTTCTCCCGCTTCCCCTACCCCCCCACTTGAATCCACAAATCTCTCAGTACATAGACCGCCCTCTCCTGAGCCATCTCCGCCTTTCCCAACCCCAGGCGAGGCGGAGGGGTCGTTGGCGTGCTACTTCGCCCCGCTGGCCCACCCCCAGTGCGACGCCGCCGTGGCGGCGCTGGTGGAGGCCCAGCCGGCACTGCTGCTGCCCGTGGGCATGGAGGAGGGGGAGAGCGCGGCGGAGGGCATTGCGCTGGAGGCGGCCAACATGGTGGTGGACTGCGGCGAGGTCATGCCCACTCTACTCACGCAGCTCAGGGGCCCGCAGCGTGTGCTGCTGCTGCCGCTGTGTGCGCCCTCGTACCTGCTGCATGCGGTGCCGGGGTAAGACGTGGCTGCATGCGCCAACGCACTCCTGCGCATCACAGCTGCTTCCCACCAAGTGCGTCACCAATGCAATCATTCGCCCTCCCCCCCCCTCTCTCGCCCTGTGGTGTGCATGCGTGTGTGGCAGGTGGTGGGGGCGGCCGTGGGAGGCGGTGCCGCGCTCGGAGGAGGTGCTGGGCGACAGCAGCCTGGCGGGGGCGCGCCACTGGAACAGGGTCAGAGGGGGGCGGGAGGGGGGGTGGCATGGGGAACCGCGGGCTGCTCGGATGAACCTCTTTCATCTCTGCTCTCTCCCGCTCCGCGACAGTTTCTAATATAATCCGAACCACCTTGATGCTTACATTGTTAGTTCTTTGCAAGCGAGCTGTTCCAAGCCCATCCTCTTCTTCCCACTTCCCCCCCCTCGCCTTCTGCCCTCCCACCCATGCGGCGCGCCCCCAGGTGAGCTGGTGGAGGGCTCAGACCACTCGCTTTGCCTTGCGCTGGCCCTCGCCCTACCTCTGCCACATCACCAACATCGCACGCCACGCTGCTTTTGGCCCGATCACAGCGCGACAAGTGGCAGCAGCAGAGGCGGCGACGCAAGCGGCAGCGCGCATGGTGGCAGCAGCCAACCGCACACAGTTTGAGCGGCTCATGGGTGGCTTTTCATGGCATTCTCTGCCATTCTCAGGGGGCATTTGGGACGTCAGCAACAGGCAGGCTGCTGCTGCTGCTGCTGCTGCTGCTGGTAGTGGTAGCAGTGCGGCCAGTGGTGCCAGTGCTGCTGCTGCTGCTGCTGCTGCTGCGACACTTGCTTTCTCTGCAGGCGCATCCTCGTCCCTGGTGTACGCCCCCCCCCACGTGCCGCGGCCGCTGGTGAGCGTGCACGTGCGGGCGGGCGACAAGGCGTCGGAGATGGAGGTGTTTCCTCTGGCGGCGTACATGGCGATGGCGGGCAGGGCGCGCATCAAGGACCCCTCGCTGCGCCACGTGTGGCTCAGCACAGAGATGCAGGTGCGCACAGAGATGCAGGTGCTGCGCTGGGATGCTGGTCTGCTGTCGCTGCGCTGCCATGTGCTGCTATCAGCATGTAGCAGGGCATGGATGAAAAAGCATTGTTTTTAGGGAAGAAGGCAGGTAGATGCATGAGGGGGAGAGGGTGGTTTTTGTTTACAGAGCCTGTTTGACCTGGCTGTGGCATGGCGGCTGGGCAAGACAGCAGGGCAAGCACATTTGCTGGCCGCCGCACTTTGTGCCGTGCAGCTGAGGGGCGCACTCACTCTTGACCATGGTGACTTTTGAGTCGACTCAAAAGTCACCTTGACCATTCCGCACATCATTCACCCCGCCCTGCTCCTCATCCACTGCCACCCCTCTCGCCCTTGCATCTCTCCCCCCACTGCTTGCCTCTTACCCTCCCTACACACTCACCAACTACAAGTGAGCTTCTGCTATGCTACGCTCCAACCAACCTCCCTCACACCCCTCCCTGCCCCCCCGTCAGGCGGTGATAGACGAGGCGGCGCTGTTCCCCGGGTGGGAGTTCCACCACACGCGCAACCCGCGTGTGCGCAAGGGTGCGACGGCCATGACGCACTTTGAGAGCGCACTGGGCCACGAGCTGGCGGCCGCCGTGTCGTTTGCGAACCTGCTGGTGGCGGCGCAGGCGGACTACTACGTGGGCGCGCTGGGGTCGAACTGGAACCGCCTCATCAACGAGCTCAGGGTGACGGGCGGGCGGCTCAAGGCCGGGTACCTGTCTGTCAACTATGATGAGATGTAGCGCAGCTAGCAAGACAGGTGGCGATGTGTGGCGCGCGCTGCTGCAATAGCAGTAGGCCTGAGGGAAAGGTGTAGTGCAAGCTGTGTGAGTGGCAATTGTTGGTGGCTGCCTGCAGTGTCTTGTATGCTAGTGCCTCTAGTTTGCCCTCTACAGTATAGTGCAGCTCTGGACAATGTTGCTCTAAGAAATCATATTGGCTTGGACACTGTAAGAATTTGAAAAAGGGTGCAGAAGACTAAGTATAGAATCTGCAGACACAAGTACTTGAAGTAGAAAATAATACTGGAAGTACCTCCAATAACAGTCAGTATTAACAAGTTGTAACACCAAAATCAATGTTACAGCCTTGTGATACTTCAAGACTTGAGCAAGGATCTTTGCGGGAATGGTAGACTAGTAAGACAACGGAAGTCTTAAAGCTTATGAGTGTTGACCAGAATTTACTGAAGAACAAGTTAATAATTGAAGTCATACCAGCTACTCTTATATCTGCTAGAAGATGCTGTTCGGTAATGTACTTGTTCAAAACTACTTGCGCTATAACAAACTGAAAGAATGACTAGAATGTGAGAGTACAAGGCATTAAAACCTAGGGGGTTGTACTCTCTAAGGCACAACCCTACATGGTCTACAACATCACACACAAATGTGTTTGACACACCCCATAGACTGGATAGGGGCAATGTCTGTTGAGAGACAAGCAGCTCAGGGTGGCACTACTAGTCCAACCTCTGCACCAAGGGTCTAAAGACCAGTCAAACAAGTACAAACCAAGGCAAGAGCAAGACCAGGGCGACACTACTAGTCCAGCCACTGGGAGATGCCACAAGGCCAATCAGGGTAAAATATATATTAAGGTATGTACATAATCAAGGCCCTAGCAAAGATCCTTGCTCAAGTCTTGAAGTATCACAAGGTTATAACACTGATTCTGGTATTACAACTTGTTAATACTGGCTGTTACTAAAGGTACTTCCTGTTAGAATACTAGAATGATTAGAAACAAGAGAGAACAAGGGAGATATATGGTTGGAGTTGTACTTAACAAACTGAAAGAATGACTAGAATATGAGAGTACAAGGCATTATAACCTAGGGGGCTGTACTTTCTAAGGCACAACCCTATATGGTCTACAAAATCACTCACAAATGTGTTTGACACACCCCCTAGACTTGATAGGGGCAGTGTCTGTTGAGAGACAAGCAGCTCAGGGTGGCACTACTTGTCCAACCTCTAACGCAAGGGTCTAAAGACTAGTCAAACAAGTACAAACCAAGGCAAGAGCAAGACCAAGGCGGCCCTACTAGTCCAGCCACTGGGAGAGGCCACAAGGCCAGTCAGGGTAAAATATATATAAAGGTCTGTACATAATCAAGGCCCTAGCAAGTGAGAGGCTACAGGAACGAGACCTACCAGTACACAGTGCCGCTGATGATCTTTATGCACAAGCGTCTTCATAAAGATATCAGCTGTGTTGGCACCGGAGGCCAAGTGTACTACGTAAGCTTGGCGGCGCTGCAGTAGCTCGTGCAGGAGGAAGTACCGCACCTCGATGTGCTTTGCTCTGCCCTCAAGTCGAGGCCCCTGACACAGGAGGATCATGGCCCTGTTGCTAGCGTACAGGACCAGGGCAGAGCTAGGCCGCTCACCTAAGTCATTGACCAAGAAGGCCAGCCAGCGGAGCTCCTGTGCCGCCTTGGCACCAGCGTAGATCTCGGCCTCACAGCTGGACTGGGCAACAGACGACGAGCGAGTAGCTCTCCACGAGACGGCCCGTGAACCAAGGCTAATACGGTAGCCCTGCGAGGACCTGAGGGTCTCAGCGTCGTCTGCCCAAGAAGCATCTGTCTGCCCAGTAAGGACCACTAGCATGCGTCCTCCTAGCATTAGCCCCATGCCCGATGTACTTGCTAGATAACGCAAAACCCTCTTAGCGGCCGACCAGTGCTGTGGTCAGTGTCTGCCTGTGGCCACAAAGCGAGCCAGGATGCTAAGAGGGTATGCGAGATCTGGACGAGTGCAAGTCATCAGGTACATGAGGCAACCCACCAGCTCTGCGTAAGGACCACTGGGCTCTACTGACTCCTGAGGAACTGGTGCTGAGAGCCAGTGATCTACTGGCAGAGGTGTGGGCTGTGCGGAGGAGAACTGAAGACCGAACCTCTGAAGGACCTCGCGCACCAAGTGTGACTGGGTGAGAGTGATGGTGCGCGCTGCTCTGTACCTGGAGATCTGGAGGCCAAGGTAGTGGCGCAGTTCTCCAAGGTCAGTGCATGTGTGTCTCTTCCGCTGCTCTGCCTTCACGGAGGCCAGTGCGTCCCTGTCTGCAGTGGCGAAGACCAGATCGTCTACGTAAACAAGGATGTGGAACGGGGTCTGGCCAGCACGAACGAAGAGCGAGGGGTCTGCAGAGGACAGAAAGAACTGCAAGTCATCAAGAGTAGCACGCAGTGTGTCGTGCCATTCACGGGGTGCCTGTTGCAAGCCGTAGACTGGGCGCCGCAGTAGCCACTGGGTCCTAGGAGGGAAGGTACCTGTGAAGCCCCGAGGGCGGCGCAGGTAGACCTGCTCGTGTAGGCTGCCCTGTAGAAACGCTGTGGAGAAGTCGAGGGAGTGTAACTCGTAGTCATGCTGTGCTGCTATGTGTAGCACTGCCCGAAGAGTAGTCATCTTCGGGGTCGGGGCGAAGGTCTGAAAGAAGTCCACCCCCTCACGCTGACTAAAGCCTCTAGCCACGTAGCGCGCCTTGAACATAGGCGGCTCTCCAGGGGGGCGCTTCACCTTGAAGAGCCACTGGCCATCGACTACATTCACCCTAGGTGGGGGAACTGTGTCGACGTAGGTGCCGGTGGATCTCCAAGATGCCATCTCCTGCTCCATGGCAGCTATCCATTGAGAGGCCCTGGGTCCTGAGATCGCCTCAGCGTAGGTGCGAGGGGTCGAGATGTCGAAGGCGTCTGGGTCATCCTCGGGGACTAGCAGCATGGAACAGAGATGGGGAGCAGCCTCGGACAAGAAAGCAAGCTCGTACTGCCGGTCCTCCAAGACGTCACTGCCGAGGGCAGGAGCACCCCCGACCGACGGAGGATGAGCAGGGTCAGAGACCCGAGCAGTGGCGTAGTCAAGGCGGTGGGTGGAGACGAAGTCAGCTACCGCAGCGACAAGAGCGTCAAGACGCGAAACAGGAACAGACGGGTCGGTACGAGAGAGGCAAGGACCCGAGGAACAAGAGGATGAGCTGCACGAAGGTAGTCAGACAGAGGGGGAGGCGCGACAACAAGGGAGGACGGAGGAGGCGACGGAAGGAGGGGAGGACGAGACGCGTGGGAACGGAGCAACATAGGGTGAGAGCACGGAACAGGAGAGACATGACGAGCATGGGAGGGGCGGCGGGACCAGACGTGAGACGGAGGTGTCGGGTTAGGAGTCAGAGGAGGAGACACAGGAGGAGAAAGCGGAGGAAGACGAGCCGGAGACGAGTCCAGAGGAGGGAACACGGGGTCGTAGACAGGAAGGGGAGCAGACGGTGGAGGAGGCACAAGCGCGCGGTTAGGGGTCGGAAGGCCGAGCAGGCGAAGGGCTGACACCGGTGGCGACTGCTGTTGCGGGGGGACGACGGCGAAACCGGGACCGCCAGCTGCTCCACGGACAAATCCGGAACACTCCACTCCAGCACCCCCAGAACCAGGAACCTCTCTAGCGTACCACCCCTAGGCCTGCCGGGACAAGCCACAACAGGAACCCCAGGACGAGCACCCTCCTCAACACCAGCACCCCCAGGGTCGACAAACTGCTGCTGCTGCGGCTGCAACAACAGCTGCCGCGATTGCGGCTGCGACAACGGCTGCGGCGGCGGCTGCGATGACGGCTACTGCGACGACGGAGGAGGAGACACTGGGGGAGAGGCGGGTGGCAAGGACTGCGCCGCAGGGCCACTAGAGTCAGCAGACTCCTCGACCGGGACAACTGATGGGAGGGGGATGACGTGAGACACACCAAACGGGGCAGGGCAGGGAGGGAGAGGAGCAGGGGCGACCGGGGGAGGGGGGACCAGGAACAGGGGGGGAGTAACCGGAGGATCACGATGGGGAAATCAGTGGTAGAAGGAGACGGACTCGTCAAAGGTGATGTTGCGAGAGTGAAAGAAACGGTGAGACGGCAGGTGGTAGAAGTGCCAGTCAGACGATTCGAGGGGGAAACCGAGGAAGACACAGGGGACGGTGCGGGTAGTGAGCTTGTCCGTGCCAGAGGCACAAACGTGAGCAAGGCAGCCCCAGACGTGGAACGCAGACGCGTCACCAGGGGACCCGGTCCAAAGAAGGGTCGGCAAAACCTGCAGCTGCTGGGGGTGCGGCCACGGGTTAAGCTGGTGAGCGGCGTAGCGAACGGTGAGCGGCCACAGAAAATGGGGTGCATGGGCATGGATCATGGAGGTACAAGCCACCCTCATGACCAAACCGATGCGTCGCTCAGCGACCCCATTCTGCTGCGGGGAGTCCGGCAGGGTGAACGTCTGGGTGATGCCCTCCGCACGACAGAAATGACCAAGGACGCCGGAGGCAAACTCGCCACCATGGTCGGAGTAAAGACGCAAGACAGGGAGACGGCGATGCACAATCGCACAGACCAGCCACGGGATAAGAGCGTCAGGCACGTCTGCATTCTGCTTCAGGGGCAAAACCGTGGTGTAGCGCATGTAGTCGTCAAGAAGCATGAGGAAGTAGCGCTCTCGACGCGACCCATGGACGAAGGCGGGGCCCCAGACGTCCATGTGCAGGGTCTGTAGCGGAGTGGCGGTGGGGAAGAACGAGGAGGAGTGAGGGGCACGGCGGAGCTGGCCCTCGACGCAGGGTATGCACGGTGGCGCTGGGGAGGAGGGCAACTTAGGGAATGACTTTGGGAGACCTAGGAAAAGACCGTGCTGAGACATGTGACGCAGATGCGGGAGCGCGGGGTGACCTAGACGATGGTGCCATAGAAGTGTCGGGTGAGTAAGCGACCAACACGAGCAGGCCGCAACAACCTGGGTAGACGCAGCCACCTGGGGAGACGTCCCAATCGGGGGGGGGGGCGGTGTTCAGCGTGAACAGGCCAGACACCGGGTCCCGGAGGAACGCGATGAGGGGAGCACTAGTGGCGGCCTCGGCACTGACATCGTACCGCTCGTGACCAGGAAACGTAGTGGTGACGCCAAGGTCCTGGACGCAGCCGAGTGAACGAGGGGATGTGCAGGCCTGTAAGAGAGGCCGAAGGAACCG